ACTGTTGTTTTTTCCCTGGGGTGATGTACAGAAACTGCTATCCATCCCAGACAGAGGAGGTGAGAACAGAACAAAGAAAGAAACAATAGCAACAACTAATGCTATATATAGCATGAGTGTGTGTGGGGGTGGGGGTGTATGCTTGACACATACTAAGTATGTGCTGTGCCACTGAATTGTGTGATGATTGATGCCTGTAATTCTATCACTTGGGTGGCTGAGCAGAGAGGACTGCCATGTTTGGGGTTAGCCTGAGTTACTTGATAAATTTCACGTCAGCCTATGGAGTAAGGGTGTGCCTTGGACAAAAACAACATCACAAAAGAACAATATAAACTATAAGCAACCAAGCAACAGCTACCACTCCCAGCCTGATAGATTCACAGGAAGTTGATGGCGAAAGATCTTGTAATCTCGGATTCACAGGAAGTTGATGGAGAAAGATCTGAAACTCAAGGCAAGCCTGGGCAACTTAGTGAGACTATCTCAAAATTTAAAAAATAGGAAAAGACGAATGAGAATGTGGCTTAGTGGTGGAGTGCTTGCTTAGCATGCACAATGCCTTGGGTTCCCTTCCCAGTACCACCACAAGTCACATATAGAAAGTACAAAAACCCAAGGCCCAAAACAAAACAAAAATGCTGTAGACTGGCAATACATGGTACCAGCTCTAGCAAAAACTTGAGGGGAAAAAGCTATTATTTCTAGTAATATGAATTTTTAGCATAATCCTTTCTTTTTTGGTTTTTGAAGCAGGGTTTTGTTGGGGACCATCACCATCCTCATAACCTCAGGTATCTGAGATAGAAAATTATTGCCTTCTAAGAAATAAACAGGATGTTCATCAAAACATTCCAAGGTACAGGCTTGCAGTTTCACAGCCAGCTGAAGAATAGCTCAGGGCTATCTCTCCTGCAGCAATTAACAGCCAATTACAGGTTAGCTAAACAACGTAGGGCATTCCTTCTACTGACCTTCTCACTCTACCTATGTGCCAGTGCCCATGCCCTGGCTACGTGCAAACCCTGCTCACATCCTGCCCACGGTCCTATATAAGCCTCCCCTGAGAAAATAAAATTTGTCAGCTTGATCAGAATATCGTCTTGCTGTCCATTTTTCATATCCCTTGTCCCCCATATTCTTCTAGGTGTTCCATGGTTCTTCGTTGACTGCCCTGCGGGTTGGGGCAGGGTTTCTGTGTGTTACAGTCCTGGCTGTCCTGAAACTCACAGTGTAGACCAGGCTGGCCTTGAATTTACAGAGGTTCACCTGCCTCTGCCTCCGGAGTGCTGGGATTAAAGGTGTGCGCCATCATCGCCTGGCAGCATAATACTGTTGAATAAGTAAGAGTAGTAGTTTTTATTTTATTTCATATGTGTATGGGTGTTCCGCCTACATGCATGCCTGGTGCTCAAGGAGTCAAGATTAGAGCATCGAAGCCCCTAGCTTCATACATGTTTATGAGCTGCTACATGGGTTCTGGGAATCAAATCCAGGTCCTCTGGAAGAGCAGCCAGTACTTTTCCACTGGGGAAACATCGCTCTAGCCACATTAATACATTTCAAATAAAAAGTTCAAGAAAAATAGTAAATTTGTCCTCTTGTTACTAATTTTGTTTTTGTATAATTTGGTTATTCTTTCGAATTTCATTCTACATTCCAACCACAGTTCTCCCTCCCACACCGCTCCTTCTCCTCTATTTGCCGCCTCTCTAGCACACCCCATTCTGTTGGATACAGTGTTTCTCTGTGTAGCCCTGTGCCATGGAAGACATTTGGTAAAACAGGTTGACCTTGAACTCAGGGGTCCATCTGCCTCTCCCTCCAAAATGCTGGGATTAAAGGCTTGTGCCACCACACCTGGTTAATTTATTTCTAATTTCTTTGCCCAACAAATTAACTCTGATTTGCTTTTAGAAACATGTACTTGTACACACAATGTTGCCGTATACAGCTACCCTGATGGCTTGGCAGCGGAAGCAAAAATAAAAAAAAAAAAAAAAAACATTCAGTAGAAACATCGAATTGTGATCTTTTTCTGGTTTAGTGATAGTGTATAGGCTGGGTAGCAACAGTAAGCCCACTTCTTCAACCAGTCATAAGGAAGGGAAACAACAGATCCTCTCTAGACAGTGTTCTGTGTCCTTGTTAGAGTAGGTGGATTGGACACACTTTCAACTTAATATTCTCAATTTATAGAGTGGGTTTTTGGGTTTGTAATCCCATGTTAAATCAAAGAGCATCTGTATAAATTCTAATGCAAATTATCTATTTTCACTAACACTAAAGTACTTACTATTGGCTGTTTCATGCTGTTGACAATGTAATTGTTGATAAACGGTAGGCTCCTGGAGTGGAGTGAGAATTGCTAGACAAGAAATAATATTTGGCAAGAAGCACATTAGCTTCATTTTTTTTTTGAGATTTTCATTTTGTAGTCAAGCTGCCATTGAACTCTCCATCTTTCTGCCTCAACTTCCATGCTTTGCTGGTGACAGAATTACATGTATGGGCCACCATGCCAGGCTGGTGGCTTCAGGTTTGCATGTTCATAAATCCAGTATTCCAAATGCTTCCATGTTGATTGATGTTAGTAATGCAGATACACATCAAGGATATTCACAAAGGACTGAATTGTAACTCAGAATACCAAATTATTAATTTACAAAGACAAACATAATTGTTCATGCAGATTTTGTTTGAAAATATCCAATTATTAAACAAAGATTGTTGGTACCCTAGAATCAAGACCAGGTAGGCATATTAATCACCAATTATTCACAAACAGTTGAACAGTTTAAATTCATAGCACATTTGTTTGGAATACATTAAAGATTCACCTCCCTGTTGAGGTCTAGAATGTTTGTCCCTAGAGAGACTGCTATTTTTGTCTTACAGATCAAGGTTCATGTGTCTCACATATTAAGTAGTGTCTGTTCAGTCTTTAATCCCCACCATTCCTCCTTTAAAAAAAACTTTCTTTTGAAGCATAATTTTGTTTTTTTTTAATAAATTGTTTTAAACAAATATACAAAGCTGAGTGTGGTGGCACATACCATTAATCCCAGTACTAGGGAGGCAGAGGCAGATGGATATCTGAATTTGAGGCCAACATAAGGAGTTGCAGGCCAGCTGGAGGCATACAGTGAACTTCTGTCTCAGACAAACAAACAACACACACCCATACAAGCAAAATTTATTTCTTCTTTTTTTAAAAAATGTATTCTACTCTTGTGTATTATATCCTGACCACCATTTCCCCCTGCCCCCTCTCCTCCCAGCACTCTGCCTCCTCCCAGCGCCCCCTCCTCAAAATCCACTCCTCCCATTTCCCTTCAGAAAATACATGGCATCACACATTACTAAACGACGAGGTACAAACCCTCATATCGAGGCTACAGTAGGACAAAAGTGGGTCCCCCAAACAGAAAAAAAAGAGTCAGAGATAGCCCCTATTCCCACTGTTAGGAGTCCTGCAAGAACACCAAGCTACGCAGCCATAACACATATATAGAGGATCTAGGTCAGATCTATACAGGCTCCCTGGTTGTCACTTTAGTCTCTATGAGCCCCTATGAGCCCTGGTTAGTTGAGACTGTCTTGTGATGTCTTGACCTTTCTGGCTCCTACAATCTTTCCTCCCTCTCTTCTGCAGGCTTTGTTAAGCTCTGCCCATTTTTGGCTGTGTTTCCATCAGTTGGTGGATGAACCCTCCCAGATGACAATTATGCTAGGCTTCCACCTAGCACAGTCTAGCAGAATATCATTAAAAATCAGCAAAATTGATTTCTTTATCTGTTTATTTAGATTATGACTATTATATTTCTGGCTTTATTATTACTGGCCTTTTTAGTCTTTAAGGAAATTACCCTCCCCCCCACCCACCCAATACTCATGGTTTCTCTGTATTTCTTTGGAGCCTGTCCTGGAACTAACTCTGTAGACCAGGCTGGCCTTGAACTCACAGAGATCCACGTGCCTCTGCCTCCTGAGTGCTGGGATTAAAGGCATGTATCACCAATACCCTGAGGAAATTACCTCATTTTTAAATATCTGTTTTGTTTTCGTTTTTAGATGAGGTCTCAAGCCACCTCCAATCCTTCAAGTGCTGTGATTACAGGCATATGTTAACCATGCCTGGTAGGAAATTGCACTTTTTGTTTGTTTTTGGAGACAGGGTTTCTCTTTGTAGCCCTGGATGTCTGGGAACTAGTTATGTAGACCAGGCTGGCCTAGAACTCAAAGATCCACCACCTACTTCTGCCTCCCAAGTGCTGGGATTAAGGGCATGCACCACCATGCCTGCTACACTCTATTTATAGTTCAGTTTCTAAGTATTAGAGTGAAGCAGGGGACAGAAACCTGGTGACTTATTTGGTAATTTTATGAGAGCACCTAGGTGTCTACTAAAAAAAATAAAAAATAGGTTGTTCGACACAAGCCTTTAATCCTAGCACTGGAAAGACAGGGGCAGGCGGATCTCTGAGTCTGAGGCCAGTCTGGTCTGCAGAACGAATTCCAGGACAGTCAAGGCTACACTCAGAAATCCTACGTCGAAAAACCTAAAAAGAAAAAAGAAAAAGGCTCAATTAAATTCAGATAAATAAATAGCTCTTAGCTTAATCATGTTAAAAAAACATAGATGAGATGTATTTGTATTAAAAGTTGTTCACTGTTTGAAATTCAAATTTAACTAGGTGTCTTGCAATTTTGTTCGCGGAACTAGACAACTTTGCCATTATTTTAACATGAGGCTATGAGTCTTGCCTAGGTTCTTGTTGCTTGGTAAGCACCAATTCACTAGGTTGCCTCAGACAGGAAACGAAAAGGAGTGGCCTTACAAACTATTTGGTGCAATAGCAGGTAGCTACAAAAAGACGGAAGAATCTTGACCCTCTTAGGAACCCGTAACTGACTCGACTGCCATAAATGCTGCTTTGATTGACTCCCTCCCTCCTCCATTCTTCTCCAGCAACCGGAAAGAATTGCGCGATCACTTCTTCCTTCTGAAGTCCCGCCCTTTTGTCTGTCCCCAATGGAGAATAAGCTGTTACTCAAAAGGAGGCGACAAAAGCCTCAACGTGGAGTTGAGAGGAGCGGAAGTAGTCAGATTTCGCAGGGCCGTAAAGCGAATAGTGTTTTCACCTTCCGGGCAACGACAGCAGATCCGACTGTCAGTGCCGGTTTTCTTCGTGCCGGACCCTTCCTAATTCAATTTCCTTCCCATTCCGGGCCCTTCCCTAGCGTCGCCCCCTTCACCTTGGATCATGTTCAAGAAGTAAGGACACGTGTGGCCTCCATCGGCTGCTCACAAAGGCGGTGGGGGTGGGGGTGGGGAAGAGGGCGAGAGCAAAGGTCCTCTTTCTCTCTCCCCCGCCCCTACCATCCTGAATCCTTAAGGTTTTTTCTTTCTTTCTTTTTTTAAATATATATATATATTCACTCAGGACTTGGAACACTTTAACCTTTTCATCTCTAGTCCTCGATCGGGGTCTGCTCCCATTTTCTTTCTCCTTAACCCTGTTCTGCCCCCTCCGGCAGTGCTATCATCCATTCCTAGGTTTCTACCAATCACATCCTTGCACTGTGATTTAGGGGCACATCCTCCTTAGCTGAGAGGAGAGCCCTGCACTCGCTGCCATATGCTTATTAGTTACGAACTGAAAAGGGGAAGGCTTGACTTCCTGGGTCATGGCTGCGAAGGAGTCTGGGTGACAGGAAGCAAGCAGCCAGTCAAACCTATTGCTTAGCTGCCAGATTAACCTTGTCTTGAACACAACGTGATAACCCTGTGTGCTAGTCAGTGTAAGGAAGACAAAATTATTTGGAAACCTACCTACCCAGTGGGTTTATTTTCCAGACTTGATAAACGCAAAAGACAAAGGGGGAACATGGGAAAAGGAAGGTGGGTTTGTGCATGAAAATCTGAGCAAATCTTGATATGGACCTCAAAATCATCACCACCACTCCTTAAAAAAAAAAAAAAAAGAAACTCAGCAGACTACGTAACCTGCCAGGACTCATTCTTTTGTTCTGCTTGGGTTGGTCTTTTGTATTTTAATGTGTGAGGTTTAATTTCGATAAAAAACAAACAACAAACAAACAAAACCCAGCCTAGTTATTATTATTATTATTATGGATGCGAGTCTATTTTTTTTCCTTTGGCAAGAATTTTCAGTAAAAGGCTTTGTGTAGCTGACAATGGATTCTAGCATAACAATTGCTCTGCCCCTATTAATTGCAGCATGCATGGCAGTTTATTCTAATACTGTCTTAAAACATTGGTTTTGTATTGTATAAGACAAAAGCAATTTACTTCATAGTTATTTTAAGCATGGGTACTTACTTGGGAATAGATGATTAATTAGAACCTTACTTTTAGATTTTCTGATTCTCCTGCTTAGCAATGCCCTTTTTTTCCTTCAAAATTCATTTGCCAGATTTGATGAAAAAGAAAATGTGTCCAACTGCATCCAGTTGAAAACCTCGGTTATTAAGGGTATTAAAAATCAATTGATAGAGCAATTTCCAGGTATTGAGCCATGGCTTAATCAAATCATGCCTAAGAAAGATCCTGTGAAAATTGTCCGATGGTAAGTCCTTGTTTTTCTCTATGTAAAGATTAGAGTAGCTGAATATCATGTTAGATTGTTCTCATTCTAAATGGAAATTATTTCCACATTAGCTATAGAGTAATGATGAGAACAGACAGAATGAAGTCTAAACTTGTCAATATTTCTATCTTCAAATCTTATCTAAATATATGAAGAATATGTATTGTTTTATTAAAGACTTGGTTTTACTTATATTTGAACTTATTTCAGCTTGCTCTTGAGAGATTTGTTTTATTACTTGACAATGTAATTATAATAATAAAATGTGGAATGAAATTGGCAGTAGCAGGTCAAATTTCTTCTCTATCCTCTTTGGTTTTCTCTGCTGGATGGGTATTTTTTTTAAATCAGGATCTTTACTGGATTAGTAAACTTAATGTATCTTTTTATGTGGTTATTTCATGTTATAATTTTTAATGGGATGACTTACATTCATTTTTGAAGGAAAATATCTAACTTGGTACTGGTGATATTTCTCTTACAGCCATGAACATATAGAAATCCTAACAGTAAATGGGGAATTACTGTTTTTTAGACAAAGAGAAGGGCCTTTTTATCCAACCTTGAGATTACTTCATAAATGTAAGTCTTGGTAGAAATATACATTTGGGAATATAAATACACAAAAAGAGTTGAAAACTATAGGAATGAAAAGTGACTTCTGATAGTTTGTTATTTATTAGTGCTAAGTAATAAGGAACATAAAAGTAAAGTGTATTCTCATCTTGTGGTAAGGCTGAAAAATGCAAATTCTCTTATGTATTAGAGAAAGCCCTCTCCCTACAAAAAAGCACCCATTAGTTCAGCCATTCAATAAAAGCCTGGTGTGGTGGCTCACAGATGTAATCACAGAGCTTAGGAAGCTGACCCAAGAGACTGACACAATTTTGAGGCCAGCCTGGGCTACCAGGTGTTACCCTGGCCCCAAACAAACAAAGACCCCAGAAATATTAATTCAGTAATTATTTAGTGAACTTTCTATATGGTTGGCTCTAGGTGCTAGCTACTAAGAAGTACAGTTGTAAGCAAGATAGACTTAGTCCCTTGTCCTTATTGTAGTTGAAAGAGTGTACCACCATGTATTTGTAAACATATATATTCATAAACTGATAAGGGCTTTGAAAATTTTTGTTTTACATTTGTTACTAGAGTTCCCTAATAGATATAATTCTGTGTGTGGAAAAGCATTTCATAAATGCGGAAGTCTTATTTATTACTGATTGAGTACATGAACAGATGTCATGAAATCAAATAATGCTTATTTCATTCATACATTTACAAATTGTTAGAATGACTATATTACAAAAATTGAAGGAAGATATAATCGAATGAGCAAGAACTTTTCAAATGGGAACTAAGTTTTCGGCTTTTTAGGTATTGTTGTCAAGAGGCAGAAGGAAAGGTAGTGACTTACAGGCTCTGTTGATGATGGGTAGTGGTTATTGAATTTATCTCCTTGTAAAAACAAATTCATTAAATCACAAGGAGATACATTTTAATTGCCTGGTATTGTAGAGGTTAGGAATTGTAAAACTGTTTGGCAAATCTTTAAGCAGGTGAAATGATTTAATATTTATAAAACTAATTATAATTATCCAATTAAGCATTGATTTTTATTTTTAGGTTAAGACCTGATAGAAATTAAATTTAGATGTAGTGGGAATAAGTTTTTTTTGTTGTTACTGTTCTTTGAGACAAGCACTAGGTAACAAAGGCTGGTTTCGTACTTCTAATTCTCCTGCCTCTACCTCCTAGATGCTGGGATTATAAAGCTGTACCACCATACCTAGCTACTGTCATTATTTCTAAGTAGCTTAGAGAAGTTTAAAAACTATTCTTTTAGGGGCTGGAGAGATGATTTAGCAATAAAGAGCATTGGCTGCTCTTCCCGAGGTCCTGAGTTCAATTCCCAGCACCCACATGGTGGTTCACAACCATCTTTGTCCCATGGGATCTAATGCCCTCTTCTGGTGTGCATACATTCAGACAAAACACACATATACATAGAATATATACCTAAGTAAATTTTTAATAAAACCTCCAGTCACCATGTAAAAGCCTCTAGAAAGTCTTTAATAAGTTATTGGTATATACAGGCAGATACATTCTTTTAAGATTACAAAAAATGATCATACACACATAATTGTGGGCATTCACAGGAATAGGAAACTAGTTTTACATGCTTTGCCAGACACATAATGTCAAGTGTCTATTGTTTACTATCATACAAAATAAATAAATTTACTGCTATAAATATCTCCTATGGTCTACCTAGATTTTTTTTTTTTTTGAGACAGGGTTTCTCTGTGTTATAGCCCTAGTTGTCCTACCCAACATACTGCGCATCTCTCCATTTTATTTTTTGTTTTGTTTTGTTTTTTGAGACAAGGTTTCTCTGTGTAGCTTTGGAGCCTGTCCTGGAACTCCCTCTGTAGACCAGGCTGGCCTCAAACTCACAGAGATCTGCCTGTCTCTGTCTCCCTAGTGCTGGGATTAAGACATGCGCCATCACTGTACAGCTCTATCTCCATTTTCTTTAGGGCAGACCCAGTAGAGTTCCTGGGTCAAAGAGTCTTTTTAAGGCTTTTAATGTATGCTGCTAAGTCATTCCAATGGAAGCTTATACCCATTTGCAAACGTTGTAGCAGTCTATTAGGATGTGTATTCCTATACTCTTTTCTTGAAAGTATCAACTTTGTCATTAAAGGGCAGTGGTTTGGCTTTTATTGTGCAAATATAAGAGTACTATAATTTTGGAAAATACTTGTGTATGTTTTTTGCCATTATCTTGAGTCTTCACTCATACTAATTTATATATTTCTTCTCTTGTAGATCCTTTTATCTTGCCACATCAGCAGGTTGATAAAGGAGCCATCAAATTTGTCCTCAGTGGAGCAAATATCATGTGTCCTGGCTTAACTTCTCCTGGAGCTAAGCTTTATCCTGCTGCTGTAGATACTATTGTTGTATCCTTCCCAGGGTTTAACCATTGAAAATTGTTCATTGTATTCTTGCCATTGCTGAAAGATGTATCATCCAGGAGAATCTTACATGTGCTTTTAATTTTTATTAGTATTTTCTCAAAATCTTATGGAGAGCCACCTGCCTCTCTGTCCCAAGTGCTGCAATTAAAGGCATGTGCCACCACCAATGAGCTGGCTACCCTTTTTCAATTTTTTTTTCAGTTAAGTTTTTTTTAAAAAAACATTTTGACACATGTGTACAATGTATTATAGTCATACTCCCTCCTCTTACCCCCAATAAAATTCTCTGTCTTTTTTTTTTTTTTTTTTTTTTTTTGAGATAGAGTCTTACTATGTAGCTTTGGCTGGCCTAGAGTGTGTACTGTAGATTAGGCTGACCAGGAACTCACAAAGGTCTGCCTACCTCTACCTCCCGAGTTTGATGGTATGTGCCACAATATCCAGTTATCTTTTCTTTTTCTTTCTTTCTTTCTTTCTTTTTTTTTCCTGAGACAGGTTCTTACTATATATCCCTGACTGGTTTAGATTTTACTATGTAACTATGAGGCTATCCTTGACTTTGTTATAATCTTGCGTCTGCCTCTTGGGTGCTGGCATTACAGATGTTTACCACTACTCCCAGTTCCCTTCTTTTTTTGACAGTCTTAAATTGAATTTACTATGTAGCCAACACTACTAGTCTTGAACTCCTTATTCATGGGTCATGCATGAGATTACTGGCATATATTGTCATGTATGATTCCTTATTAAATTTCATTTTGAGACTTTATTTCTCTGTGTAATAGCTCTGGTTGTCCTGGAACTAACTCTCTAGACCAGGCTGGCTTCGAACTCACAGAGCTCCACCTGTTTCTGCCTTCCAAGTGCTGGAATTAAAGGTTTTTCACTACCATCTCCTGGCCCTTTTTTATGTCTTTAATTTTTTTTTCTTGTGTGTGTGTGGTAAGTGAACAACTTTCAGGGTTCAATTCTCTTTGTACTTGGGCTAGAACTCAGCTTATAGGTCTGTATCTTAAGCACATCTACCTTCTGAACCATCTTGCCCTCCCTTTTTATTTCTTGATGGTAACTTATGTTTCATTTTATGTGGATTCATAGAAGCTAATTGAAAAGTTATGGGGAGTTCCAGAGTCACTGCAGCCTGTTTATGCCCCTTGATCAGACATGGGATACAGTCTGACACTTGATTATGAATAGGTTATAGGTGATAGGATTGGATCCTCTTTTAACTTGCCACATTTAGTTTGACTATCTAGATATAGTGGAGTAAAAGCATTCAAGAAGGAACTGAATTGAGGTTGCAGGTATAGTTTTTCATATGTCAAGCAGCAACTTTGTATTTAGGAGGAATACCAGAAGCCCTCAACATTTATTTTAAAAATTCACTCTGTGTGTGTGATGTTATCTTGTGCTATGTAGTCTGGATTAGCCTGGAACTCAAGAGGTAGCCCAGGATGGCCTTTAATCTTCCTGTCTCAGTGTCCCAGTGCTGGGCTTTCAAGTATCCATTACTGCACCTAGCCTAAAAATGGACTTTTATATGGTTGGTTTGGAGCAGAGAACATATTTTCTCTAAGAGAAATGTGTATTTTTATATTTAAAAATAATCTTGATATGCAACACAAGCTAGCCATGAACGTTGTGATCCTCTTAGTTCAGCTTTACCAAGTACTAGGATTGCAGGTGAGCATCACTACTCATCACACACACACACACACACACACACACACACACACAGAGAGAGACAGAGAGAGACAGAGAGAATGTTTTAAGATTTTAATATACTCAACTTTAAAATATTTAAATAGAATCTTTTGAGAAAAAGGCCTAGTCTTGAATTCTTGCTGATTTGCCTGTACCAGCTCTCAAGTGTTGGATCATAGGCATGAGCCATGTCTGGCTAGGGCTTTTATTTGTTATTTTGAGACAGGGTCTCTCTTACATAGTCCTAGATGTCCTGGAACTTATATGTGAACCAGGCTTCCCTCATGGAGTTCTGCCTGCCTCTGCCTCCTATGTACTGGGATTAAAGGCTTGCACCACCACTCCTGGCTAAGGATGAATTTTTAAATATAGCTCATTTTAGAAGGACTGTATGGCCCCCGGATTAAATGTCTTAGTTTGTGTTTTTACAGGCCTCATTAGAAAAGAAGGTGGCAGGTAATATTAATGAATGCAATAGGTCAAATAAATGCATTTAGAGACGCTGCAATGTAGCTTCAAACAAGGAACAAGTGAGACCTTAAGAAATAACCACAGGCTGGGTGTTGGTGGCACATGCCTATAATCCCAGCACTCAGGGAAGCAGAGGCAAGCAGATCTCTATGAGTTTGAGGTAGCCTGGTCTAAAGAGAGAGTTCCTGGACAGCCAGGGCTACACAGAGAAACCCTGTTTTGAAAAGCCACTCCCCCCCCAAAAAAAAAAAGAACAGAAGACGAAGAAAGAAAAAAAATAACAACAGGAACGAAACAAGTAATAAAACCTATTCAACTTTTTTAAAAAAATGCACATGGATCTGGAAGTTGTGGTGTATACCTGTATTCCTACCACCTGGGAAGCTGAGATAGGATAAGTACCATGAGTTCAAGGCCAGGCAGGAGTACATGAGAATTTGCTTCAAAAATCAAACCACAAGTAGAAGAACTAGTGACAAACAGATAGCTTCAAATCAAGGAATCGTCTTCATGTACAGCATATCTTGTTATGCTGGGCTTTTTATTCGTTTTGAGACAGTGTTTCACTATGTAGCCCTGGCTGGCAAAGAAGTTGCTTTGTAGCCCTGGCTGACCTCAAATTCAACTGAGATTTTGCCTCTGTGTCTTAAACTTTGGAAGTAAGGGTGTGACCACCACATTTGACCATGCTTGTCTTTCCGGCCATGATCACAGTTAATGAACCCTATTATCATCTTTGTCTAGGGGTTGCTAGGGAGGAAACCCACTTTTCTTTTACTGGTTTGTTTTTGAAACAGGCTCTCATGCAGCTCAAGCTGGCCTGGAGCTCTTGATCTTCCTGCCTCTACTTCCCAACTGCTGGAGTGTGTGCTCTCATATCTTGCCTCTTCCCCCATCACCCATTTCAGGGTCTTATTAGGTAGTACAGACTGGTTTTGAATTCACAATCCTGCTCCAGCCTCCTAGGTGTCGATATTACAGAGGTGCACCATACAGTTTAAAGGTTATATTTATTCCATGTATAGGATAAAGTGATTCTGCATCATTTCCATTTTGCAGCAATATTTGATATATATTATCGATTAAATAGGTTTTTGTCCATTAGGGCAGGAGTCCATCTTCTGCTTTGTCATAGAGTGTTCATTTGCCTCAGTTTGAGAAAAGGTATAGTAATTGATGGAATCAAGGAAATCACTGTGGAGTGTTGGGATGCATTTAAAGGTGTGTCTTAACTGGATATGGTGGCTTACACCTGTAATTCCAGCCCTTAGAAGGCTGAATTTGAGGCCAGCCTCAAAAACAAAAATAAAAACATAAAAATACCAGGTTGTAGTGGTAGATACATGATTTTAGGGCTCAGGAGGATCTTTGTGAATTTGAAACCCTCCTGGTCTACATTGTATCAGATCAGCCTGGGCTACATAGTGTGACACTATCTTGCATTGTGTGCTTTGTGCTCAAGAGAAGGCTTTCCCCTTTGTGGCATTTATACCCAAAGGATAGAATAAGTTGTGTATGTGTTAGACACATTGTATTGATGTAGATACTAGTGATATGCTAGGTGCTCAAATATTTGTGCTACACTGAATGGACCACTGCAAAGCCAATGGAGAGAAGTATTCTATGATAATATAGTTACCTTTTGTGTTTATAGATTTAAACAGTGGTATATTTTCAGTTCTGGATTTTTCCTTGACTGGAAAAATTTCCTAGTACTTAAACTTTACCTTCACCCCTCTATCCCCTTTTGGAGATGCAGTTTCACTCATTTGAAATAACAGATTTACAGGAATAGAAAACAATAGTAGAGATTCTGTGTATATTTGAACTCAAAACAAACATTGCAGCATAAAACAAAAACTTCAAAGGATAACGAAAATCATTGTTTCTATTGTATAAAGGTTGTAACTGTTACAAGGGCCTCTTCAAGACACAATGGAAATGTGTATTTTTTTGAGACAGTCTTGCAATGTAACTTAGAACTGACCTTAAACTAGCTATGTAGCTCAGGCTCTCCTGAAAATTATGGTTTTCCTTCCATAACTTGTATCTTGTTCAGCTGGGAACATAAATATTATCTTATGTGTTATTTATATAAAGCCATCATTTGGTGGCGGAAATAGCTAAAACAGTTGACATATATTTCACAGATTTTAGTATTTATCTGCAATACGTTTTATCTTCATCTTGCCTGTCTTTCTGGTTTGGTTCAAAAAAGGTGCAGTACTGATATTTGGCTTGAAACTATAAAGTGATTGACTTATTTGGGATTTATTGTATGTTTATATTGTACCCAAAGACCCCTAGGTTCCTGCTCTCACGGAGTGGTCTAGGAGAGGACAAAAGATGGGTCGAACAGCAAAACAACCATTGTTTCTCACATTTCCCTTTCCCAAATTGAGAAATAGTTTTCTTAGCTTGTTTTCAGGCAATCATGGCAGAAGGAAAGCAGCATGCTTTGTGTGTTGGCGTCATGAAGATGTCTGCAGAAGATATGTAAGTCTCACTTTAGGCTCCCTTAACTGAAATATGAGTGGTAGCTCAGGAAGCATCAGTTACAGGTGAAGTTTGAGGTTATTCATACCACATCTTATAAGTATCTAAGCAAACAAGCACATTTCTTACTTTTCCCAACAATCAGGAATCCATTACAACTCCTTTTGTTGTCAGGGTTACATTCTTAAGCATTTTGAAATGAAACATGTGCTAAAACAGGTGTTTTGTATCTATGTGTGTGATACTTTAGGATTTTCTCTTTAGTATCTACATTAAATTGGTGATAAAGGGTGTGTATTTTATTGCTAGTTTTGAAAACACACATACAGCTGGGTGTAATAGCACATGACTATAGTCCTAGCACTTGGGAGGTGGAGGCAGGGGGATTGTGAGTTTGAGGCTACTTGGGATTTCAAAATCAGACTGTCTCAAAAATATAATGTACTATACACTATTTTACACTCTGATCTGTTGATAGAAAAAAAAATGTAGCATGTTTCTAACTTACATAACCAAAATTCTACTAATTTTGCTTTGAGATTTAGTGTGTTGATGTTTGCCTATTTTGTTGGTATTATTCTGTTTGCTTACTTGTTAGACTGGTAAAGTCAGTATTTTTTTTTTTTTTCTGGGCTTTTTTTCTCCCCCAAGACGAGGTTTCTTTGTGTTGCCTAAGCTGTCCTGGACTTCACTCTGTAGACCAGGCTGGCCTCAGATCACAAAAAGCCACCTGCCTCTGTCTCTTGAGTTCTGGGATTAAAGGCATTCACTACAAACCCTGTTATTTATTTATTTATTTATTTATTTATTTATTTATTTATTTATTTGAGAGGGTTTCTTGTAGTCTATGTTGATCTTCAACTCACCATGCAGTTGAGGATTACCTTGAATTCCTGATCTGCCTTCATTCCTTGGATTATGGTTGTGTGTTATCACACCCAGCTTTAGAATAACTTTGAATATTAATTTCAAGCATGATTATGTTTCTTAATGGTGGAGTACTTGTGTAACATTCTTTAAGGCCCTGGGTTTGATTCTGTAGTATCACAAAAAACTAAAAGAAAGTCAGATCAACCCAATCCCAAAACCCCACAAACGTAGTTTAATGTAGACAATAATATAATAGCAGTACATTTCTTACATGTTGCTTAATGATTATAAAGTAGCAAGACACTTTGGATTGGGTTTCTCATGAATGAATAAGCCTATAAAAGCCTATAAAACCTGTTTATGTATTTTTTCTTCCTACAGTGAGAAAGTCAACAAAGGAATTGGCATTGAAAATATCCATTATTTAAATGATGGGCTGTGGCATATGAAGACATATAAATGAGCATCAAGAGGAATTTGCTTGGGCTAAATATGGATATTGTGCTATATCTGTGTTTGTGTCTGTGTGTGACAGCATGAAGGCAAAGCCTCTGTGGTTATGCTGAATAAATTCTGTGGATGCTAAAATTCTGTTAGCTTCAAAATTATTTTAACTTAAATACAAATTATAATTGGGTAGCAAACTTGGACATTAAAAGGTACCTGGTAAGTAACTCAGCAGACAACTCAATGTCCGATTTAGGTTAATGATATAAGATTGGTAAATGTATTTGCCAGTTTTTGGTGGATACCTAGATAGTTTGTCTGGAAGCTAGATTTGGAATTTTGTTCCATTATTCAGAGGCACCCAGAAGTGTTCCCTTGTTTGTGTGTTTGTTGTTGTTTTAAATTTCCCTAGGAAATGTTCCAAACATACTCTAAAATATTAATAATAGTGCAACAGACTTAACTTCCTTCATCAGCCTGCTTTATGACCAATCTTACTTTACTTATGCTTCAGTCTTCTTCCGTGTTCCCCAGTTACTGTGAAGCAAATCTTGGCTTATTTCACCTGTAACTACTTTAATATGTATCTTTAAAAAGATAGTCTTTAAAAAAATATAACCACAATTCCCTGAAAATGCTTAAAATTTTATTTTCTAATATGATCAACTATCTAAAAAGTGTCAGAGTCCCTCAATTGTCTCTTTCCAAGTTTTATAAACTGTTAGTTTCCTTGAGTTAAGGACCAGACAAGATTCTTTTTTTTTTTTTTTTTTTTTTTTTTTTTTTTTGCTGTTGTTATTTATCAAGACAGGATTTTTCTCTGTAGCTTTGGAGTCTGTCCTGGAACTCACTCTGTAGACCAGGCTGGCCTTGATTTCACAGAGATCCACATCCCTCTGCCTCCCCAGTGTTGGGATTAAAGGCATGTGCCACCAATGCCCGGCTCCTTTTATCTTTTTAAATAATTTAAGAAATGTAGTTTTGTCTTAAGTGATTCCCATGTTCTTTATTTCCCCCCCATTGTTTCAGTGCCCCTTGTATAGGAATATATAGTATACAATCCTGTAAAAAACAGGTTTCGTCACATTAAGGTTCATTTATAGTGCCTTCTCTTAAGTCAAATCATGCCATGAGATATTTAAACCATCAGCTTTGTGTTCTATTATATTCCCTGCAAAATGTATATGTCCTATCCTAAGAGCAATGGACCACCTATAGAAAGAATAGTAGTATGTTTTGGAATTAAAAGAATACTTGCGAATGTTAGTGCTAAAGGCCCTTCCTCTCAGTGACTTTGTTATGCTAGTGTCTCAGCCATCTCTTCAGGTTGTTTACCAATCTTGACCTGTGATTTTATTTTTCAGATGGATACAGACATTTACAAGATTGTGGTGACCGTGTTACAGTTAGAAGTTGGTGAGAATGGTGAGGGTGGATAGTAAAGAGAGACCATTCAGCTGGCTGTTCTAGCTGGGCCTCCCGGGATATTACATAGGTGAATACAGATGTAAGATCTGATACTCGCATTGGCAAGTCATTTCCTACTGATGGACTATGTGTAAGACTTGGAGATTTCCCAGTTAGAATATAAATATATTAATTTGTGTAATGGGCCTACATAGGGGAAACAATTAGTAAAAAAGGAGGTTCTTGGTAAATACAGAGAGCAAAGAAGGTTGGTAACTTGGGATAATTCTGGGCTGGGGTAAGGCTTGGAGAATTTTCCCTGCTTCTTCCTGAATTGGAATGTTTCTCACTGCCAAAATCTTGTCTTTCCTAACCTGTAGAGATGCCCTGATATTTTGCTTCCTATATCCTTTTCAAGTTTTATATCTAATATTTTCCTCTTATTGTGACAGTTGTATTTTATAACTTACCATATTGCTCAATTTTGATACTTATTCTTGCAAGATTAAAAAAAAGCCTTGCTTGGTGTGGTAGTGTATACCTTTTATCCCAGTACAAAGGCAGCAGCATCTCTGTGAATTTAAGGCCAGACAGATGTGCATAGTGAGATCTTGTCTCAAAACATTTATGCTGACTTCCTGATTTCAAATTCATGTTTCTAGTTCTGAGGCAGAAGTACACATTTTGATGCCTATAGCTCCTTACAGTTCTAAAAATAATATATGTGCTGCTTGTGCCAAAAACAAGCCTTGAGCTTTTATTTTTGCTGCTAAAGTAATGTTAGTTGACCAAGATTGTCTGTGTGGTATAAACAATAAAGAACATGGCACACACAAACATAAACTGGAGAAGTTAAAGCTTTATGTTGCCTGGTTTCTAGAGTAATTTATCCTTGTTCCTAACCACTGTCATAGTGGGTATAGAGAACACTTTTAAACTATCAACATTAAGTTGGGCGAGGTGGTGCACCCCTTTAATCCTAGCACTCAGGAGGCAGAGGCAGGCAGATATCTGTGAATTCCAGGCCAGCTTGGTCTAGAGCTAGTTCCAGGACAGCCTCTAAAACCACAGAGAAACCCTGTCTCGAAAAACAAACCAACCAACCAACAAACAAAAAGAGTTCAACATCAATATTTGTGCTTGCTTTTCTACTATGCTAAGGTACCTTGACTGTTGCCTTGATAAGCTAAGAATATTGCCTGCTCTCCTGAATTTGAGGCCTCATCAGTTTTAATCAGGGGTGCCACTTTACTTGTTGGTGAAAGCCTTCTCATTTTCTCCTTTTTTTTTTTTTTTTTTTTTTTTTTTTTTTTTTAGAGAGACAGGGTTTCTCTGTGTAACAGCCCTGGCAGAAAGATAAGCCGCTTTATGCAGCATGCTTGAAGGATACTTTATTTTACCAGCATTCCCAAGATTAATACAGAGAGGGCCTCTTATCTTTTGAGCAATGTGACACCAGTTCCAAGTTTCAAAATTAACTCTGTGTCAAACTTAACTTATATTCCAGCTATTCTTGTGTAGTTGGCTCATTTTCATTGAACCCAAGTCAGTTGAGCTCAATAGGTATTGTTCCTATATAGAATAACACAAAGGAAAAAATATACAAGAAGCTCTTGCAATTAAGGGATTTCTAGTGTAGTAGATATAGGATATTTCATGAAGAAGAAAATGGGCAATAGTGATAGCCCCAAGACCAATTTATGAAGTCAGTATTAATTATAATACTTTTCCAATTTTAACCATCAAAAATTTTCAAATTTGTGTTGGGTGTTGTGGCTCATGCTTTTAACCACAGCACTTGGGTAGAAGAGATAGTCAGATCTCTGAGTTTGAGGCCAGTGTCATGCACATAGTGAGTTCTAGGACAGCCAGGGCTACATGGTGAGATCCTGTCTCAAAAAAAAAAAAAATTTCACAAAAGTTTACACATGCAATAACTATACAAGTACCTCTTACATTGTATCCAGTATGAAGTTTTTTAAAAAGTCCAAATGTAGGAATGGAGAGATAGCTCAGTATTTAAGAGCACAGGCTGCTGTATCAGAAGACTAGGTTAAGTTTCCAGCAACCTCATGGTAGCTCACAACAACTTTCTGTAACTCTGGTTCCAGAGGATCTAGAGGAGCCTCCACTGGTACCAGGCACATACGTGGTACATAGACATACATGTAGGCAAAACGCTTAGTACACAATTGATTATTTAAAAAAATCCATATGCTTTGGAGTTGTGACAGTTTACCATCCCAGATTAGATGTTTATTCCACAGCCCAGTGCCTTAAAGCTTGAGCAGTCAGTCTTCTAGCAGACTCATGTTTTGCTACTGTTCTGTAAGTACCTGCCCTCCCTGCCCCCAGTACTGGAGGTTGAACGCAAGACTTTGTAAATGATAAGCAAGTGCTCTGACACTGGGCTGCATCCCCAGTCTTATTTTTATTTTAAGGCATGGTCTCATTAATTTACTTAAGCTGGCCTTGAACTTGTTCTAGAATCCAACAGTCCTTGAAACTTGTAGTCCTCTTGCTCTAGCCTCTCAGGAAACTAGGATTATGGGTTGTACCACCAGGACTAGCTCATGTTTTCTTTTATCGCTTAACAAAAAAACTTGAACTTCAAACTAAACCAATTGGATTTATTTCTGGGATAGCCATGAGCATTTCCAAATTGAGGGATTTGATATTCTCCAACTAGTCATATGATATTTGCCAAATAATTTCTATACAAGCAAGTTCCCCATCTGAATACATCGTAACTGAGGATACTCTATTTCTAGGTATACTGCTTTACAAGACAAATTAATAGCAATTTGTTAAATTTGCAGAGATTTCATTTTTTGTTGGTCATGGTAACATAAACACAGCAGATATGTATTAATGGAAATATGAAAATGTGATAAATATTTTAATTTTATTTATCTAGGTTCCATTGAGAATATCTCAGTGTTCTCCAGGAAACTCAAAATGATTCTATTTTTTTAAATGATTCCAATTTTTAAAGGAGTATCTACTACAATTGATTTGTAATGCAAGAAAAACAGTAAAAACATATAAATCTCGTGTCACTATAACTATGATTTTTGAGGTCTGAAACAGCCAGAAACTTGATATAAGAGTAGGCCATTAAAATATTTTGGAAACCCTGTAGAGCATACACATTAAATATGTTACAATCATATTAGCACAGTAAAAATTAGATCAATTTCCCGGTGGTGGTGGTGGCATATGCCTTTAATTCTAGCACTTGTTGAAACAGAGGCAGGTGGATCTATGTGAGTTTGGGACCAACCTGGTCTACAAAAGCAAGTTCCAGGACAGGCTTCAAAACTACACAGGGAAACCCTGTCTCAAAAAAACAAAAACAAAAAAATAAATAAACCAATTATAACTCTTAATATCATAGTCTTACAGCAGTATGTAATGAAGCCATACCAGTCTATGTAAAGACTGATGTTTGTAAATGAATAATATATTTATTTTATGCTTTCTGTCTATATTTTTAGTAAATGTTTAATGACAGGAATAGTGAGACTTACCAACTATAACATCAGTTTGTTTAGTATTGTATTAAAACCAGTTAATTCCCAGTAAAGGACTACAGTGACATCAGGTCAGGGTGAATGAATAAAACCGAGGGTCAGTTTTAAAGTCATCATTAGATTTAGGTTCAATGTGGTGGTACATGCCAGTAGCCCTAGCACATGGGAGTCATAAGCAGGACTACCAAGAATTAAAATTGAGCCCTGCTACTTATGGAAATGTGCCTGAAAAAAAAAGCCAGGTATGGTAGTATACCTCTATAATTGCCTCCAATCCCAGTACTCAGAAGGCTGGAGGAGGCAGACTGAGGCTTGGAGACCAGCTTATTTTACCTTGTCTCTAAAGCCAACCTTTCAGAGAATAAAGTCTATCATAGAACAGATTAATATTAGGAGCAGTTCATTAATCCCAGGTGAATATGAGTTCTAGGCCAGCCTGGACTACACAGATGCTATTTCCAACAATAACAACAACAAAAACCCTGAAATAAAAAA